AGAATATGTGACCTTTAACACAACTGGGTAATGATCTATCAAAAACACAGGAACAGAGAAAGAACATGAATATTTCATTAACCCCACTCTCACTCTGCTATTTACACAGAAAATGCACATAATGCACCAACAAGATCCTATGGACCATTTACTAAAGGAGAGATGTCAGAATAAGGGGACAGCACACAAAAGGGTGCCGGAGTTAACGGTTTGGTACCTTGCTCAAAGCCACCTCTCCAGCAGCCAAAATTAGAGAAAGAGCTATTAATAGAAAATAATTTCATATACTAGAAAACTTTCAGATTGTTGTATGAAGGTGTTAAGAATGAACTTGTAGAGGAAGAGGATTCAGAGCATGATACAAACTATTGTATTATTTATAAAAAAAGGTTGGCATCTGTTCCACTAGAACACATTCAGTTTGTTGTAACCCCAAGATCTGTTGCTCGTTGCTGTCCAGAACATTTTGTGTTTGTTTACATTTTCCCTGCCCGAGTTAGACGGTAGCATCTGCTCCACCAGTGTAATCTGTAAATGGATACCTACAACAGAGCCCTAGAAAAAAGGAGGTGGCGGCCGAGCGGGAAGGCGATGTAAGCGAGCCGCCTTAGCGCAGATTAGAAAGGAGGTGATGTAACGTGGCCGACTGACACCGACCTCGCTGTAACTCGTAGCTTCCTGAGATCCACATGGAGAAAAGTAAACAGGCGGAGGGACGGGGAAACAAAAGGCAGGAATGGTGTTCTCTCTCTGTGTGTGTGCCAGGAGACACATGAGGGAATTTACTGCTGCAGGAAGCCATCTTTTTAAGAGCCACGGGGAGGCTGCTCTGCTGAACATCACTTGCTGTTTTTCAGTATTTGTCCTGTTTGTCAAATTTGCTTTGCTGACACGCCTCCCTGATATTGCTAACACTGGGTTTTATTCAATATGAAACGTTGGCCCGTCAGCATCTTCAGCACCTGTATCTTTTTCAGAGGCTTTTGTACACTCGCAACAATGCGGCGCTGTAGTTAAACTTCTCTCCAAAGGACAAGGACTCACTTTTTAGTGCTCGGAAGAAAACAACAGAACAAAGGGAGCTACTCTGAAGGCATTGAAGGATGTTATGTTATAAAATCATACAAGTTTTATTTTTGTATGATTTTTTCAAGGCTCAGTTTAAGAGTGTGAAAAGCTTTCAGGACTTAGATAATGGGGAATGAAAGATTCTCGTTGCTCCTTGAAGAGGGCCAATGCCAAATGCAACATTACATTTAAAGTGTTTTTTGTCACGACTGAAACTTTTTTTTTTTTATCAAAAAACAAACAAACAAACTCCTTCCAAATTCCAAATTTTGCATGGTTGATATAATCACCCGTACCGGTCTGTGATGCTTAATGCCAAATGAAAGCAAAAGTGGGTAAAGAGGAAACAGATCACATGATGGTGAGTACAGTTTTGTCTGAAGGAAGCTTTGATTCCTCTTTGTGGTTGCAGAAGTCCATAATCAACTACAGACATTAATGTTGGGCTAAAGTTCTACCTCGCAGACTTTGGTGGTTCCACCTTGTTCCTATGGTTACGGTGAGCTAAAAAGTCAATATCTGAAAATCAGAATGAAAAGCAGTAAACGGTCATGTTTTTCCTTTGTTTTGATCCTTTAACCAGTTTCTTCTTCTTCCCGAAACAGTGTTTGACTCAGCGCCTACAAACACTCGACCACAAACATTCCCTTGGCGGCGGCCTGGGGACAACCGACACCACAAACACACACACACACACACAAACACACACAGGAAGTGAACCCGAGAGAGGAAGCTCATTTTTGCTGCGCTGCCCAGTTTTCTTCCCCCCCCCTCTGCCCGAGAAGACAGATCGATATGTATCAGAGAGGAGAGGAGACTGGCTCCCAAAAAGCTGAGTCAAGGCACACACACACATACACACACACACACACACACACACACACACACACACACACACACACACTTTGTACCAACACATGTCAAACACCTCTAAATTTGACCTTAATCATAACTTGGTCTTGTCCCTGAAACAATGACTTCACCCTGAAAAATGTCCTTTATGGGTCAGGGAAACAGTCAGCACTTTCCAACTAAATTTATCTTTCACATTCTACCAAATATTACAGACACTTCAGAGAGAGTAAAAATACTCTCTCACTTATTCTATGACTAGAATTTACCATGGACTGTATAAAAAAAAAAGGGGCAACAAGACAGCTTACACAAAGTGAAGCCAAAACATTTTAGCTCCTCGTACTGACTGGTTGAAGTAGGATAGGATAGGATAATACTTTATTGATCCCCAGAGGGTAAATTCGGGTATTGCAGCAGCAAGACAGAGAAATAATTTATAGTAGAAAAGTAACCTCCAAGACCGGACCTTCAAATCTGACCTCTAAATCTGACCACCGAGACCTGACCTCTGAGACATGACCTCTGAGAGTTGACCTCTGACACCTGATCTCTGAGAGTTGACCTCTGACACCTGATCTCTGAGAGTTGACTCAGAGGATGATGACGATGAAGAGTTAAAGACTGTTAAATGATGAAGAGCTATGTTAAAAAGTACAGGTAATAAGCCCCGCCTCCTCCGTGATAACAGATTGGAGGGTGGACATGGGATTGTGTTGTTTGATGCTATGATAAGTGGGGAAGCTGCATGTATGACATTCACGTTTACAAATGCGACTCCTGTGATTTTTATGTATTTATTTGGAGATATGACAGGGGAGAGAGAGACAGTGGGAAATGACAAGCGGTATCCGAGCAACAGGTCGGATTAGAAGTCTTCAGGGGCGCAGACACTAACCACTAGGCTACCTCATCATATTAGCATTTTATTGGGAAGTTTATGTGTGTTTTGGTTCGAGAACGGGGTGGGATAGACATTTCCTGGCTCCACCAGCTGATACCTACTACACAGGCAACCGGCCCCATGATGTCACTAGCCGAAGATGGAAGCGCGTGTCTCGGTATTATGGCTTCTTTTTCGCTCAATGAGGTGGAGACAGGTCACCCATTTTTATATACAGCCAATGAGAATGTACTGCTATATCCGCAAGGGACATCAAGTGACTGTCCAAACAAAATAACGTTGTCTCATCTTTTATTTTGCTGGTCTGGAATTATTTATCAGCATGTAAAATGTGCACGCTGCGGAAATGGACTGACAGCTGTCGTGCTGTTTAAGACTTTCTCGTACTCGAATGTTCAGGACACGGGACAGGGAGGTTGATTAGATGCAGGCGTGACATATAATGTATCTCGAGAGCTTTCTAGATCAGCAGCAATTTCACGACGACTGATTCATCCTGTAAGTCATTTGCAAAGCTCCTGCGTGGATTTTGGCGACCCCTGTGGACAAAGTGGGAACTTGTGTGTTGATTTGCTGATCTTTTCATATGTTAGGTAGTGTCTTGAAATCTCAGCTGTTTCAGACATGAAAAAATACCAAATGGAAATCTGATGGTCTTGTTTGCTTTTGTAGCTCATACAGAGGCATTAATAGTCTTTTTTAGTTTGTTTGCTAACGGCGCTAAAAACTCCTCACAGGAGATTTAAGCTAAAATGCTAATTCTTTTTTTTTTTTTTTTTCTTCTGGGCTAAACAAACAAGAAACTGGATGACACACCCTTGGGCTCTGTATCCAATTTTGGAGGATTTTTTCATTAGTTTGACGTTAAAATTAGCATTAGCTTCAATGCTACTTAAACACAAAAACGGGCTAATCAGGGTTCTTTGTTACCCTCAAACACATGAAAACAATCTCACTCAAAATGGCCTTTACAGCTTTATTTTTTACTTTTTTTTTAACCTTTCTGCTTATTGTGGAGATATAATTTGATATGTGTTAAAGCGTATTTTGAGCAAAAATGTAAAAGCACAATTTCTTGACCGTACAAAACTGACCAACTTTGCCCGGGATACTAGGAGATGTCCGAGTCACACCCACCCCCCCCCTCTTCCTTGCAGCTGCATACAAACATGTTGGCAGGCCTGGTACATCCATTCATAAAAGACCCTCTCCCCTTTCCCCATCCGTTTACACACAAACACACACACATCCTCACACGCAGCCATCCGGGACGGTCACAGGTGGTCACCGCTGGTTTCTAATCTCCCCTTTCCTCTTCCTGGATACTGGGAGAGTGTAAAGGCAAGTACACTGCTGATAATCTGCTCCAGAAGAGCCGCAGTTATCTTTTTTTGAATACAGACACGGGGGGGGCCAGTAAAAGCATCGCACACACATCGGGGGGAGTAACCCAATGAAGGAAAAAAAAACCATGATATAAATAAAGTTATATTCAAAAAGAGATGTAATACTGCCACTTATGTTACCTCTCTGACAGAGCAGCATGAAAAGGACAGTTAAACACTTGAATGCCTTCAGGGACACTAAAGGAAATCCAATTAGCTTAATCAATGGTGTGTTAAATGCCCCTCTTGAGGATGGGAAATTCCCCACTCAACCATTCAAAAAGGTCACACTTATGACTGAGTGGTGTCAAATCGACAAGACGTGGCACCTTTTGGACGTGGTTACTTCACAGACACAAAAAAAATCGTCCTGAAGATTTTTTACACGGTCAAGTTTTTATTATTATTTTTTTTTTTACAGCTATTCTGCATCCACACAACAACATGTTCTCCAGAGTTTACACAGCAGATTAAAACACCCCTGAGGGACTTGAACGCCCCATTTCTTCCAACTCCTGCCATCATCTGTGAGCATTTGAAGGCAGCACCAAAAGCACTTTTTTTTTTTTTTACAGGCAGACTGTGAAGTGGCATCATGTAACGGTATGTGAGGAGAGAAATGATCCATATCTGTGAATGGAGGAGGCTGACTCACTCACAGCTCGGTCCCATCAATGAACTACACCCTTGAGAATTTTTTTTTTGTCTTAAAGAAATAGTCCCCTCTCTCTCTCTCAACATTTAAAACAAGCAGCAAGAAAGAAAGGAGTTAAAAAAAAAGATGTACTCACCCTGAGCGCAGCAAATATGAGTCAGCTACAGACAGGGAGAGATGCGAGTGTCTACGGGAAGATAATCTCCTCTGGATGTCACAGAAAAACAGCTCTGTGGGGGGGTTGGGGGGGGGGAATGAATGTCGCTTCTTTTTTTTGGAGAGGAAAAACGTTCTGCAAAGGAAACGAGAAAAAGTCCACTCTTGTCGGTTTCTTGTTGTTCAGTTGTAGTTTTTTTTTTTTTTTTAGTGTTTCATGAGACGAGGCCGTGATGGAGGGAGGGGGGGGACACGGTGTGTAGAGGAGCTGTCAGTCAAGTGTTTGGAGAGAATAAAAGAGAAAATGGTAAAAGGGGTAAAAAGGAAGGTGTCGTGACTCTTTCCGTAGCTCTCTGTGTCCGTGTGCTGCTCCGCTGTCCGGCTCGCTCTGTCACCGGCTGCTGAAACGTGGAAACGCCTTTTCCTCTCTCTCTCTCTCTCTACCGCACTCTCTCTCTCTCTCTCTCTCTCTCTCTCTCTCGGTTAAGCACGCTGTCTGATTCATCCATAGATCGTCTATTTTAAAAACGATGGCTCCCTCTCTCAGTAGCTACACCAAAAATCCAACGACTGCAGGAGGGTCTTCATCCTCCCCTAAAATGTTATATATATATATATATATTTTTACTTTTACTTGTACCCAAAGTAAATTAAAGGCTTTATATGTGATTTTTTTTGATCCAGCAGATGTCGCCCTTCAGCACCAGCATGAAACCAAAACAACTCGCGCTTATTATGCTCGTATCTTTTCACACCGCATGTAAATTTACCTGAAATGAGCGTGATCTAGAAACACAGTTAAGCAGTGAGTACAGTATGTTATTCTTCTTTTCTCTAGTCCCTCAATTAAACAACTTTTACATGCGAGGGGAGGAGTCAGCCGGCCGTCCGGGCGATGTAAACAAAGTGAAGATAGGACTCTGAAAACTCTGAAAACATCACAGACAGTGGGACTCGGGTGTTACACCCATTGTAGACAGTCAGGACTCACAGAGTTATTTTCAGAGGATAAACTTGATTTCTACATTTAAGTGTGAAAAATCACAAATAAAGACTTTAACAATGAAAATCCGTCATCGATGTGGTATATGTAAAAAAACTATATGTAACATAGGCTACGTCCACTTTAAGTTGTGATGTTAAAGTGACATGCAGTGATGATAACGTTTGGACTTTTGGTGCAGTCCATTTACCTTGGATCTCGGAGTGAGGAATGATGTTACACCCGAGTTGACCGCCCAGTTGCGAGTCCTTCAGGCGTCCATGTTGGTTTAGGTTTTAGGTTTATTACGTGGCTTTGATTGAATTGATTTTTGGCTCTCTTGATGCATGTTCTGGATAAACTCTTGTTAAAGCAAAATTACCGCAAACTCGCACAATCAATGTACCAAACCCGCACAATAGTACTGGTTGCACTTGACCCAGGAACTTGGGGCGGCAGCAGGTTCATACTGTGCACTGTGTGGCATTCATTGTTGGACGGGTTAAAATGGCTTTCAGCAGTAATTCTGCAAACTGTACATGGCTCGCCCTCTCAACATGTTGGCCTTTTTAAAGACGCTTCCAAATCATGTTTGTTTCCTGTCCTTGCCTTTGGTTCTTTAAAAAAAAAAAGAACAGAGTGAGACCTCTTTCTTTCCTGCTGCCTCCTGAGTCCACATTTTCCCAGACACACACTCAGACACACACATACCCCTGCACACACACATTTTTCAAAGCTGATGTCACTGCGCTATCCGGTCCACAAAATCCCTCCTCCTGTTTCTTTCTCTCCATCACACCACGATCCCAAAACATAGACTCCCCCACCCCATCCTCGCCCCCATAGCCCCTATACACCCCATCCTCACCCTCCAACCCTCCAACCCTCGATCCATTCTTTTAAAAGTGACAGAGAGCTAATGGCTGCTGTGCAGGCTGTTGATCCCTCAAAAGAAGTTTCATCTTGCGTCAGTTTCTCTGCTTTTGAGAGAATAAATGAGTTCCAGCACGAATGCATTGATACAAAACACAAAACAAGACTCTATTTTATTTTATTTTTTATGAATAGAATATGAAGAAGTCTTTCAGTGGAGAGGTGAAACATCTTCAAGATCTTTAACCAAGCCTTTGGATTCCACAAATTGAGTTTTTCCTTTTCTTATTGACACCAAATTCAACTTAGTTTTTGTTTAAATGTGAAGATTCTTTCTCGACCGTCTGAGGATGAAATCAGAGGTCTCAAATGACGGACACAAATCCCAATGAATACTTCAACTTTATTCAGAGATGAAATGTTTTTGCTCATGTTTTACAAGCCCCGCCCACTGAATTAAACCCCCTCCCCCAAACATCACGGTATTGAAATTGCTGTTAACACATTGTTCTGCAAATTTAAGGTTAAGTTGGAACCCACAAGTTTCATTTCACCAGCTTTTGACCTTCGACCTTTGACTTCATGTGTTGACGTTTTATTGTTTGAGCATATTGACCGACGCGCTCCTGTTTATCGTTATAACACATCCAGTCGACTGTGAATCTGTAACATTTGCTGCAAATCTCGTTATTATTATTATTTTTTCACAAAAGGTCAAAATCTCGTGATTTTTTTTCTGCACATATCTTGTGAATTGCTCACACGTGGGTGTGAAGTGCACAGCTGCTTCAGCTCTTGGGTGAGTGTAACTTAAACCTGATGGTTCACAGGTGACGGAGACAAAAGCAGACACAAACATGGAGACTCTGAAAGACGAGGTTCAGCTTGCGGCCACACGGCGGTGATGATCTCTAATGGTTCCACATACCTCAGGTGTGTGTGAACGAGTGTGTGTTTGCTTTATTGTGCCTCACTTTAGCCAGGCTATATCAAACAGAGATGTGAATACAGTTAAAAGTGGTTTTAGATGGATGAGTTGGAGTCTTTTTGACCTCATTTTACTTTGATTTTGACTCTGGATTCGCAGTAGGAGATGTTTTGTTTGTGCATCTGACAACCTTGAGTCTTTCACAGAGTGCTCCATTCTTCATCCGAAAAAAAAAAAGAAAAAGACATGACTTCAAGATGTTGGTCTTAAAACTTGTGATCCAGTACATATCCAAATTTAAAACATGAATAAGACTTCTGTTGCGAGCCTGTGACCCGGAGGGGAGAATAACTTCACCATTTTTTAACACAAATTCACTGGCAGTAATCACCCATCTTATCGAACGCAATTACAAGTCTGTCGACGTTAGCCTGCAAAGAGGACCAATGGCTGGTGGCGCAGCAGTTCAGAAAAATTAGCCGTTGTTTCCCTGCGGATGCTGGGATCCTGTTTAGCCTTGTGAATTAACTGTGAACAATTTTGAGTGTTTTTGACTGGTCGGAATTTGAAGTAGCATTTAATCGACTGGGGAAAGCTTCTGCAGGCATTTAGCGAAACAGCCTGTTAAAAGATGGAAAATACTCACGCCCGCGACTGATGGGTAGAGGACATTCAAACCTGGTTTCGGCAGCAGCTGTGATCATTTTTCTCCATTCTGAAACCATTCTGTTTGAATGTCCTCTACCTGTGACCTGCTGAATGAAAAGACTCGTCTCACTGGCTGCTTTCACTGAAACAATAGACTCAGTGTTGTTGGCGTATGCAAAAGAAGCACAGGGTCATTTAGAGCAACAGAAGATGCTCTTTGGACTCACAATGACACAAACATCCCTGCCAATGTGTAGAAATGAAATCTGGATCCACATTATTCTGCTGGCTTCCATCATTTAGCATGCAAACAGGACACCAGTTCTTACTGAAAAGTCAAATGAAGAGAGAAACAACAACCTGTTTTGCTAACTCGCACTTCAAATTGCTCTCGGCGGGTGATGCGTGAGTCAGACGATGATCGCCGGCTGCCCGGGAGGCCATATGTTGATGAGCATGCTGGGAGTTATATGGATGATAGACGGCAGCTCGACCATCTCCGTCTCCTCTCCTGGAATAAAGAATAAACACTTCATCCTGCAACACTTAAATCAAGCTAAATCTGAAGTGCTGCTGACATCATTAATTCATGCTTTTTTTTTTTTTTTTTCTTTGTTAGTGACAAAAACGCTTTCACACGGGAGGCTTGAACTATAGCAACTCTGAAGTGGAAATGGGCACCTTACAGTGCACAGCGTGAAGCATTCATCCATTAGCGGTTCTATAAGAATCTCACAACGTGCTCGGATTGCAAAGTACAAACAGAAAAAAAATGCTCAACTGCACATTTATGTTCATACTTGAACCCCTTAAAACATCTCTGATTATGTGCAGCTGTGGGGGATAAACGCTGTTGTTCAGTCAGTCCCATGTTAAAACCGACTGATACAGAATAGATTTTGTAAATAAGACAGGGCGCAACAATCTGTAAGCATTTTTTTAAAACATCATGCTGCACTAGCCTATTTAAAATGTATGCAAAGCAGTAGTGTGTGTGTGTGTGTGTGTGTTTGTTTCCCCCCCGGAGCAGGCTGAAATAAGGAAGTTCTTGTTTCCCATCACAAGACCAGCTCGTTTTTTTCTGAAGTATAGGGGGAAAAAAAAACAGAGAGGAAGTTCTCCCAAACAAAACAGCTCTGAGGATTCAGCCGGAAAGAAAGGAGGGAAGGAAGGAAGGAAGGAAGGAAGAAAAGAGTTACAGAAGAGAGGCAGAAAGATAAAACGAATCAAGTAAGACAAAAGGGTGAAGGAAGGACAGAAAGACGATGAATGGGGGGAGAGCGAGAGAGAGAGCGAAAGAGAGAGAGAGAGAGAGGGACTGTTGTGTCAGTCTGTGTGAATGTGCTTATTGAAAGAGATGAGTCAGTGGAAAGAAACAAAGAAAACGTCGAGTCACTGCACTCTTCATTTAAATCTCTTACTCGGCGGCTCTTACTTTCTCTACCTCTGCTATTCACCTGTTTTTCTTTCGATTAAAGGCTTCATTCATTCTTGAGCTGAATGCCTTCTAATTTAAGCCTCACCTTGTGACCCCAAACTGAAGTTTTAAAAAGTTCCAAATAGTCTTAGTCTAGCTGTGATGTCTCTGGTAGACGTGTTCAACCACAACAAAACCCTTCAGATAGAAATGACCTCTTACATTCAAGTCAATCAGAATTACAAAATGACATCTGTCGTGCGCTGTGTGCCTTACGCCCCGTGTTCATCTAGCGTTTTTTCCGAGCGCCAGCGTCTTTTTCCGAGCGCTCTGCCATTTTGTGTGCAGCCGCTTCGAGCGCTCTAGTTGAAAATATTTCAAATATCCAGAAAGGTGCCGTTGACGTCCCCGGCGCTCTTTTCCAAATTATATGATATTCCCTTGTATTTTTGCCGATCTCAAACATGCAGTAAAAAGTATCGGAGCCGCTTTGGTCATACAGCGGGCGTTGTCAACAGACTGTTGTCATAGAGACGGGACGGACATGCAGCGCTTTTCTTCTCAGCGCACA